TGGTGGGACACCATCAGTGATGTATAATCTTATTAACAATATCTCTACAGGGTAGGATGATGGGGCTTTTTGAGGAAGCCCTTCCATCTTGCTAAGCTTTGGTACATCTCCAGAAAAAAGATCCTGGAGGTATAACGAAAGTGTTCTGGTAGTTGTGAGCAAAGGCGACACGCACACAGGTAGTGCTGAAACAGTGTTGAGCCGGTGCCTTTTCACAGCCCTGATCCTGTGATGTATCACTCATTTTTGATCTGCTGATTTATCGGAATTTTAGTCTCAGTATACTGACTGAGATTTATGATCACTTGAGCTTTTTCTTTAAAAATAGTTCCTACTGGAAGCAGCATTGTAACTGCACACCTGTGTACACTTGATACCCAGGCAAAACTTCCAAGAGGACTTCCTGCAACTTCAGACCCTTCTGTCAGGTAAATTCTCTGCCTGTTTTGATTTTGTTTGGTTTACGTTAATTTATGTGAGTTATATAATATAATAACTTTTTGTTTTATACTAAAACATGACCTAGCATATAATTCTGGTAGGAAGGGAGATAAGTGCTGTGACAGGGAGAAATCATGCCAGGCCTACACCACTGAACATGTGTCTTTTCCTTTTCCTGTTTCCTTTTTCCTTGTTATAGCTCTATGACAGACTGGAGCTCATAGGGCTTAAAGCTTTTTATGTATTAACAGTCTGAATGCAGAAATAGAATCACCTTCTAGCTGTGAGCCATGAGGTCGATGCGCAATAACTTGCAGAGGTGGTGTTTCCTTTTCTTCCCCTTGGTCAGATGACACTTCTGTGGAGCAGCGAACACTCGAAGTTTCATTGCTCACACTGTTCTTCTGTGGACATTTTTTTTTCTTTTTTTATACTGTTCACAGCTGTCCTGTTTTGGGAAGTTCTCTGAACGAGAAACCACTAATCACAGTTCACCTGTTAAAGCTCACATTCAAAACTGTATGAAAAATCAGGACTGCTTACGGGCAGAATTATCACTTTTAAGTGGAGGAAATATCTGCTTCAAGGAACAACTAGTGACATGGTCTCCGTTGATGACAAACACTGATCACCTATCAGATCTGTTATACCTTCACAAAGAAAGTATGATATCAGGTTTGTGGATACTTATCCTGAAAGGGTGTGTGCGTGGATATCCCTGAGAATGGGAAAATTCTGCCCTATTTCCTCACTGTTAATAGGAAGACTTGTAGGAAAGCTGCAAGCTTGACTTTGCAAGAGTTTTTTTTCTCTTCCTTTCCTTGTTTAGCTTCATCTTTTCTCCAAATTGGAACACTCATTAGTGTTTGCTAAGTCTTCCAATTCTTTAGAAGTCCTGTGAGACAGCTTTACATTAATGCACCAAAGCAGAGCCAAAAGGCTTTGTATTTATTGTTGTCTAATAGCATGCGGCCTATGTTGTGATTTGATGGAACAGCTCTGAGTTGTTTTTTTTTTAAAAAACAGGTGTTCTTGAGAAGGATGAACAAATAGATTAATGTCTTAACTCACTAGAGTTTATTACAGTAATTAGAAATGAAACACAGCAATCATCATATCACAGACATATAACAATAAATCAGAAGATTAATTATGGCACGCCCTGCCCCTTGTAATCCATCCTGGGGCCCAAGCTCCACCACGCCAGCTCCACCCCTGCTCCCAACTGCAAGCACCCACTTTCCTCCTAGGAAAACATCACCCAGAGTTAGCACCCAAAGGAAAGAAGCTCCACTGAGGATTCTTCTCTAGGCAAAGGCAGGAGGGAGGCCAGCTCAGCTTAGAGCCTTTGTTCTGGACAGTACGCTTGTAGGAAAGATAGTACCAGAAATCTCTCTCGCAGGCTCTGAAGAGACAGTCATAATTTTCATTATAAATTTTACAGGTGTCTTGCAGTTCCTGTGGGCTGACTAGAACAAGATCCAGAACCTTCATCAACTTTTATTACATTACAATATCAAGAATGAAATAACAGTAAGCCCTTTCATCAGCGAACTTATAATGCCGTCCAGTGGGATGAGCCTCAGGGTTCAGCTGGGGAATAAACAAGGTGATGCAGTCCCCACTTTGCTCTTGGCAATGGGCAGTCCCTTACAAGTTAGGAAATATTATAGACCAGAATTTTCCACAAGTATTGCCGCTCGACAGCTTGCATTAAAAAATAGAGCCAACTCAATGCAAGTACTAAAGACCCTGCAATTTCTCCTGCAGATTCATGTTTTGAGCTCAGCCCAAATTTCCATGCCCATCTTCACAAGCTGTGAAAGCTTTTTATAACATATAGCAAATCGCCATTGTTTTCATTAACTCTGAAATACATTGCAGAACTCTTACGTACTCCTGCACCACTGCACAGCAGCTCTTGGGTGGGGGGTGTTAGGGCGTATTCTCAAGCTCACAGAAATGGAAATGCAGTAAATTGTGTTAAAAAATGCCTGCAGGGGAATGTTACAAGATCCTTTATAAGGTAATGTCCATTTTTTTTCTGTTTTCCAACAGATATCAACCAGTTATTCTCATTTTGTTAGCATTGGTAATGCACAACTTTTACCATTCTTGTATGACACTGCTTCCTAGAATTGCTGTTATATGTGCAACACATGCACATGCATGTCCTCTGTGTTGTTTTTTTGTTGAGACCCACACCAGCTGAACAGCTTTACAGCAGCCAGTGGTTCTGGGCAATGTGCTACTTACAGTTTCCTATAGGCAAATATCAAATCTGAAAGTCCGTTGTGAATAGTTACTGAGATTTTTCTGCATTAATAGATAACCTTCTGTTACTGACTAGTGCTTGTGATGAATGGATTAGCCATCCATTTTCTGCCACCACTGTAGGAAGAATATGTGATCCTGTGTAAAAGAGGAAATAAGAACAGAAAGCCACTCATATCTATAAGCAAAAAACTGGAGGGGAGTGTTAACACTAGAGTGCTGATAACGAAGACACCTATCAAACTCTGTCAGTATCATTTCTTCAGAGTTTTCCTAGGCTGGCTGATGGTGCCAGAAAATTAAAGTATCCTTGTTGAAGCTTATAGCTCTGGAGGGATCTATCACGTAGAAGCAAGTTATGAAGCAAATCTTGTTCCCCTCTTCTGCATGATCTGGCAAAGAAAGTAGGAGAAGCATGTAGATGGAGATGGATCTGATTCAGGAAAGCGAGAGAGACACTCATCCCTCTGCATAGCCTTAACTTTGATGGGAGTGATTTGCAGCTTTCTCTGCCTCAGCACAATTAAAAAGTAAAAAGAAATCCATGTGAACTACAGGGTTGCCAGGGCAGCATGAGCAGTCCCATGTCAGGGGATAGCAGGACTGTGGGGACACCAAATATGGTAACATCCAGAACCATGAATCACTCCACACAAAATCACAAGCTATTTTTTAAAAAAATTGTTTTGCTGTTCTTGCTTGGTCTTGGTCTTCTCACTTTGGATCTCTCCCTGTGCCAAAGCTGCCCCATTTATGGAATAGTCAGCCATGCGGCAGCTCCCAGATGTACTGAACAGTAGTCCTGGTTTTGTGTACCATCTGCCATCAAGGAGGCATGCACAGAGCTTCTCCCTCTGCTTTCTTCTGTCACCATGCTCTCATGAGTGTGTCCAGCTGACGTCCAATATATCACTTCATCTTCCTTCTGGGGTAGACCACCCCTGCATCCCACTCCCTACACTGGGAGCTCTCTTCACAACCTTCATGTCTCAAAATCCTGTTGTATCCATTTTTCCCAGTCGCCTTTTCCCTCTCACTTGGCCATGCTGCTGGCAGCAATGGCTATACCAATTGGTGGCTGCAGTGTGATTAAGTTATTTTGTCCCTGTCGTTTTCTATGTAATGAGAAGCTGTGAGCCAGCTTTGGATCCAAGACGAGCCTTCCAGCCTTTGTACATTTGGAGATATAGCTGATAGTAACTAAGGACATTTTGAGAGATTTTCAAGTTAGCTCCCAAGAGACTAACATCCCCTAAAGGTGGTGCTAATACTCACGATCAGTTCCTAAAACTTGCTACAATTAATACAGTTACAAACTAATTTTCAATGTGATTAGGCAATAGATTTTCAGAAAACTGGGGCAAGTCTCGTACTTAATACACCAGCAGTTATAGGTCCCTCGGTCATCTAAAACCAAAGCCACCTAGGCATATAATAAGTGGATAATGGTTTGAGCTGCTTCTCCCACATGCTTCATTGCTACCCTCACCATAATTCTACAATTTATTTGCACTCAATCTTCTCTGAGGTGAGAAAGCAGCGCACAGACCAAATGTATTATCTGAAGTTATCCATTCCACCTCAGTGCCATGCTCAGGTAAGTCCCAAGGGCTCGTGGGCTCCAGCAGGCACAAATGGGGGAAGTCCAAACACTGTCTTCCCTGTGCTGAGTGGCCAGTCAGTTGACTGGATAATTGATGAGTCACCCACTGAGATTTTAGATCCTGCACCCCTCCAGTTGTACAATTTGGAAGGTACCTCTAACTACTTCTTTAAAAAAAGATACAGTTTTTAGACCTTCCCTCTTAAATCAGACCATAATGCTCACAAAGATGGTGAAAAGAGTTTGCAAAGTCACCATGAACACCAGACCTGCTCATCAGAAGATTTTTCAGAGATATAAGGGAAACCCTGGCTGGATTGCTGCCAACTATACTGCTTGAGGGATGCAGCTGGTGGGCTGTGGTGAGAGCACTGCCAGAGGGCAATATAATCAGGCATTAAGTTCTGTGTAATGCAGCTTCAAGCACCTGAGGTTATTTGTTCCTTTCCTACAGAATTCATGTTTGAGGCTCTTGCAGACAGAGAGTGGTTTGAGCTTTAAAGCTTTATTTATAAAACTTTAAAGCAAATTATTTATTGCTTCATATGTCTTTTTCTAACAAAAAATTAAAATAATTTCTGTTAAAAAATGGTGTTCTAAAATAATAAATGTGAAAAACATTCTTCATCCTTTCCCTATCTCTTGCTAATATAAACAGTCTTCATGAGACCAACATATGCCATTAATGATCAACAGGAAGACAATCATTCCATATAGGTACTGTACAGGACAACAGATCATGGCAGGGATTTGTTGTAAGAGTACTTAGGATGATAAATCATGTCTCCAAACAGCAGTAAAATCTCAGCAGCAGTCACCAACTCACGTATCAAGCACCTGTGAGGACAAGTTCAGCTCATTTTGTATAAAGGAAACTGTTCTTTGTTTAACCTACATTAGTCAATTCAGGGAAAAATCTTCATATTTCATAGTATAGTTGAACAAGAAAAAATCCATTTGATACAATTTTTTGATCTTCTCAATTTGTTCTGAGCTCAATTGTCTGAGATACTCCAAGGTGATATCACCGTTAGTTCGTTTCTCTGAGCCATACCTCTTCAAGCTGGGGTAGTGCAGGCTCTCTGGTGCTCCAATGATCTTCAGAACATGCTCAGAATCTAACCCAAGAGTTTCATACTTACCCAGAATATCATAGTGAATGTTGCAAGGATCACAGAGCAGAAACATTGGTTTCCAATGAATGTCAAGAGTATTTGGTGATTTTGCTATAACGAAGTTGACAAACTCCTGGAAACTCACTTTTTCGGAAGAATTTTTGTTTTTCCTGAACATTGCCCTAATCTCATTAGCGACAGTGATACTGTAGAATGGCTCAGAGTGCAGAAGTTTGTCTCTGTAAGCTGAAACCAGCCGTTCCAATGGATGTCTGGTGAACATCACTTTGGTGTAATTGTTCAGAAATCCCTTTTGTATGGCAGGAGGGTAAGTCACCAGCTTTTTGATCAGTGAGGTTTGGTGGATGTGGTCATGCTCAATTTCAGAAGCTTCTGCATTCAAGTCTGCTTGGAGAAGAAAAATAGTTCTCTTCCAGTTGGAGCAGCCTACCTTGGGCACCTCACAGTAGATAAACTTATGTTTGTGCTCCACAAAGAGCTGGCTTGCAACACGAGAATCCGATTTGCTTCTTAATTTAAGAAGGTTGTTCTTCAGGCAGACGGAAGCCAGTGTGCTTTTGCGATCATTTTGAATTGCCAGCCAATCTTCAGTGGGATCAGGAAAAGCACCTACAAACAAGGAAGAAATTTAAACCATTAGTGTGAAATAGACTTATATAAGTCTTTATCTATCTCCCTGCATACAAAAACTAATGAAGATGCTAAAATAAAATTTTTGTTTACTGTCACTGGACTCCACTATGGCAAACATGCAACAAACTATCCCGCTTAGCGAAAAGTTTGTTAAAATGAAAACTTTCAACATGTTAGCAATATTACTCTAAGAAAGATGGATGTTCTAACACTTCCAATGTCAACTGTTTTTGGTAGTGCTCTTCCTCCCATACATTGCTAAGATAGATAGGTATCACAGTGACAGGGCCTTGGATATTTTTGTAGCATTGTTTATCACTTAGGCTCCACATATACTTTCTATCACATTTGGGAAAGGTGTCCCCAGTTCTAGAAAACATTGTCTTTTTGTTGGTAATTCTTTACTCACCTGTTAGGGTTTTTTGCCTCTTACAGAAAAACCCAAAAAGAAATATCCCAAAAATAAAATTTGGGAGAAGGAAAACTAACACCTTCTGGTTCATGTTATTTTCACAGGAAGGAGGATGATGTGATCTCCAAAGGGGAAATCTGCCCTTCTGTCAACAAAGAAAGATAATACAAGTTAGATTTTGTATGACTGATATAACAAAGATAACATGCCATTCTCTTACAGAATTTACGATAGCAGAAAGACCTTTCAAGCCCTATAAAAACAGTCTTTGCTAATAAGTAAAAATTCACCTGTGAAAAAGACTCACCACAATTATACTGTTAAACCAAACAGACAAAAAATATGACCATTTCAAAGTACTACAAAATTCGCCCTTTTCTCAGAACAATGAACTGCATATGAGCAAATACTCCTCCCTTCTCCTCATTGAAAGCTGGTGTTCCTGCCAAGCAAACTCAGCCATCCCTTCACACTGTGTAACATAACCTCATTTAGGATTACAGAGATGTACTTTTTTTTAAGTAACCTTTCTTGTTGGAGTCTGGGAGTACAAAGTTTTCTGTAACCAGCAACAGGCCTATGAGGCATTCAGGATGAGATTCTTCCCATCTTTTGCCCTGAAGCTTTCAACTTCGTACAAATAAACCAATATTCATTGCAGGAGAAACTCTTCCACATTCCAGCAGAGAATCCTAACTAACAATAGCTTAATTCTCCCATTCTCTTCTCTCTCTCCCAAAGATACTGCAGTGTATTTATGTTTGCTACAATTGCTGCTGCAGCATAAGAGCCCCAAAATGGTTCACTATGGCAAGAAGAATATAGAAGCAGTAGAGGAAACAACAGAAAAGGAGATGTTCCATATTCACAGATAAAAGGAGAGAAAGGCCAATGCAGTTAAACACTCAAGGTATTCCCTTGCCTGTGCTCGCTCATTCTGTCCCCCTTGCATTTCCTGGAGAGAGAGCTCCCAGTCCTCTGTGCAATCTTACTGTGTTGCCCCCATTAGACAGCTCTTCATCAGTGTGCTTTTCATCACTTTTTATTTGAAGTAGTAAAATTAAGTGCAGAACCATAACTACTGGCAAACATGACATTCTATTTCTGTCCCATAAAGTCTGCACCATCAAGAAAGTCAAGCAACACTGTCTTTCTTTTTCACTTTTCAATTTTTCACTCTGAACCTGCTAGCAATAAACACATAATTGCCTGGATTTCTTGAGGATGTAACTACAACTTTTTGTTTGTTTCGTTGGTTTTCACAAAGATAACAACAGGACCACTCTGGAAGTTATTTGTGGTGTCCCCCACCCCCTCCAGTGTGGGTGTACATAACTCCCAGCTGCCGTAATGGAAACTGGTTTGCTGTGTGTTCTGAGACAGCAGTAGAGGCAACGCTAGTTAAATTGCTGAAAATGTACTTGCACACAAAGCTTCTCCCTTTCAGGCCTGATGGGTGATTACTATATCATACATCTTTACTAGAATATCTTCAAACTCATACAGTTAACAACATTACTAATTATTAAATCTCTCATGACCTGAGAAATGGAGCAGGATGACTGTTCACTATCTCTGACCTGTAAACATCATTATGAACAAATCTGCAGTCACACCTATTAACAATTTATTTGTGTTTACATTAAACTGTTACAATACTCATTCAAGTGAATGCAGTATCTTTACACATGATGGCATTTAGCCAATATTTTTACATTTTTGGCTACATAAGACCATGGAAAAGGCTACAAGAAAAAATATGGGTTGATCTTCAGCCTTTAACCTTTTTTTTTCACTGCACATCAATTCTCCCCTGCACATCATGCGATCTATTGACTTCTAATGCATCAAAGGCTGTTTTCAAGGCCAGCTAAAGTCAGTCAGATTGTTCATTGATCTCATGAGGTCCAAGATTGAGTGATGCCTTTTTATTCTTTTTCAGAAGTGGTTTGAAGACACAATTTCACACTGTGTAGCAATTAAAATAAATATGACACTACATAATTCTGTACAGAGACTCCTTGTTAGCGTATGCTTAGGAGAAAGAGGTTGGGCTTCATTTACCTTAAATGCTCTCACCTCAGGGTAGCTATTGTTATCATACCTGTCTCAGGAACCGGAAAATGAACTAGATTAATTTACCCTATTTAGATACTTGTATCATATATACCTGTTAATTAAATTACCGGTACAGAATATAAGGTCTGCCATAAGATATATTTAATGATGAAACATGTCATTGAGTCACCAGAGGGTAATGAAAAAGACATGCCTCCTTGAGGGAAAGAAGCTGTTTATGAGCTAGTCAAAGACAGGAGACAACTCTTCTTCTAAGACATTTGCATGATTGTGAAAGCAAAAGAATCTTTATTTTAATTCAGAATGATCAGAACATAAGGAGGGATAGAACGAGCTCCGAGGTGAGAGGTGAAATCTGTCTGGACCCCTTAGAAAACTTCAGACTGCAGATTGGCTGTAAGAGCTAAAACCATCCATCAACAAGTGAGGTCGACATGACTATTCAGAGAAGCTACCTGAAGGTGAAGTCTGAAGGCTTCTTCTGAAGATGTTTTCTGATGGGAGATCCCCGATACAAACTTCTGTGTAATGCAAGGCCTCCAATGATGAAAATCACCTAAGAGCAACCTGAGGAACAAGAGGAAAGAAAATTCTGAGAGTCATTTTGTCAGAAGAGGGACAAGTCATCTGGAAATGAAAAAGGGGGGGGGGGAATCCAAAACAAAAAACAGCTTTGTGATACATTAGTGTCAGTAGATCAGATGAACTTTTTCTTCTATTTCTTCACTTAGATCTTTTCCAGATATTTGTAATTGTGTTGCCTATTTTAGGTGTAATGAATTAATACTTCAAATTGCATTTTACCTTATCCTACCTTGAATTAAGTGTGATTTAAGGTAACTGTGTAACTACAAGACATTCATCAATAAAGGTGTGGTGAGTCTATTAACATAACAACTCTATAATAAATAGTCTAGTTCCACAGGGCAGCAGAATGGGCTCCCACAAGCAAGGTGGAAAGACAGTACCATAGGACTCAAAAAAAAAAAAAAAAGACAGAAATGTTCTCTAGTGAAAAGGAACACAGCAAGGAGTCAGAGATCTAAACGTCTCTTTGGAACTAACGTATCCCCAAAGAGAGGAGACAATACTAAAAACTAAGTATAGGGCATTAACCTGCTTTGTTCTTGTTACACACAGTTGGGGGAGTTCTGTGGATTTTTTGTTTGTTTTTTTATTTTTAATGAAGCATAAAAGCTTCTAGATAACAGCCTTACACTGCACTGTTGGTTTTTGCTTGTTCTTCAGATCCAACATTATAGATCAACCAAACATAGCTATGGCTTAATATTTTCAACTCTGCATGTCTACTGGGTTCTGCAGATTTCATCAGAAATCGTTTTATAACTTTTTCTTTGATACTACTAAACAGTAAACCAGGTGGTAAGAGGAATGACGCTTACAGAACCCTTTCTTGAAGAACGCTTTCAGAAGGACTTCTATCAAGTGAGGAGATTTTTTTGAGGCCTGTCAGTTAACTAGTGTTTAATTCCTTCAATGTGTGTCCAGCTGATTTGATGGCTTTCTAGCTTCTTAGCCAAAACATGCTGCAGTATCAAGTCAAATGCTTTATAAAACTCTAAATCCACTATATCAATGTTATTACCTTAAACAACCAAACCCAAACAAAATTAGTGAGTCAGTTTAGTGATATCTATTTCCTATAACATAATACAAAATTTCTATGTGAGAGCAACAAGAGCAATTGCTCAAGCCAAGAATGGTAGCAAACAGGGAACAGGATATTGGAGAAAGCAATGCCAATTATCTCATGTGCATGCAAGATGGGGAAAAAGGCCTGAAGCTCTCATAAAATGAGAAATATTTATTGAATTCCAACCTTCTTTGCATTACTGATAATTCTACCACCTCCCTCTGCTAATCCATTAAGATTATTTTCTTCCTGATATACACACTCCTCATAACAAAACCAAAAAAAGTTGTATCTTGTTGTTCATATTTTTGTTCTCAAGTTTGCTAACCATAAAATGTTCTTTCCATCTTTCTGTTTCCTTCAAGAAATTTGTGACAATTTTCTGCTTTTAATTACTTTCAACGTCCCCCTTTACTCTATGCTATACTGGGTATGGAGGAGTGGCTGGCAACATACTTGCACATCCCCTGTATGTCAGGCTATATCATTTGACCCAAAAGAGCTCTCTGTCTCAATGATGAGATTGTACTTTTCCAGGGCTTTCACAAAATTGTCATATGTCTGAGTTATCAGATTATTTTTTCTCTTAAATTGCTTTCTCTTGGTTCATTTGTCTCATACTTGCTTTCCATTTTATGATACTAGATCTTCTGCAACCATTCCATACGTCTGTTAGCAGTCTGGACTTTAACAGTTCATACCATATGTAGCTACACCACAACCACTCACACTTGTCCAACTACCACCTTTGGTTTTGTAATGAGTTCCTTTTCCCCTGACCAAAACAAGGTCTTATATAAAATCTCTAATACTCTTTCAGTTAGGAATTATTTAGGCAGCCCAAAGATGTTTTAATGATAAAGTCATGTGAGTACATGACCTAGTACATGACACTCAGATTGAAATTCTCCATCCTGCCATGCAGATTTATTCATAGCACAGGCATCAAAGGAGTAGATTGTGTTGTCTTTAACAGGTTTCACTGGTACATCATTCTATCCTTGAACTGATAAAACAATGATTCATAATGTAGCATTCCCTAAT